AAGGCTGGTAGTATCTGTGCGTCGACCAGTCCGCAGAACCCCCCACTACAGAAGACGGTGCAAAACCTCACGGTTCTGGATCTTCAAAACAAAGTTATTCTCCTCAGCAGGGAGTTAGAAGCCCTATCTGGCAAGAGGATCAGAAACCGTAACAGAACAGTGCTCATCCTCAATAACGAGGAGCCTATGATCAGAGAATTTAAAACCCGAAGGGAAATGGATCGACCTGTGCAACTAGCCCGCCCCTGAAGAGGGCATCAGAGTCCAAGGGACAGGATTGTACGGTAAGATGTGCAACTCCACGCGAGGAGGTTGTTGTAGAGGCCCCAAAAAACGTGGGTTCTCCTCGGGTTCTTCGCCCGAGGAGAAATCGGAACTAGGAAATCGACAGAAGCGGATGACACTGCTGTATGCAAATACTTGCAGTGTCAGAAACAAGTGGGCCGAGGTTCTAATGGCAGCAGAGACCCATAAGGCTACCGCTGTATGCATAACAGAAACCTGGCTCTCAGAGAGTGATCCTAACCCTAGTATGGTTCAAGATAACTTTGTTACCTACAGAACAGATAGGGGTGGCGCTGTACATGGTGGAGGAGCAGCGCTCCTACTATGCACCCTTTCATGCTCAGTAGAATCGAATACTAAGGTTTCTACTCTCAATGTGCAGCTAGTTGCAGTGGATCTTATTATAAATAGCCGAAAAATGTCTATCGCCTGCGTGTTCAGGGGTCCTAGTGCCACGCATTCAGAGGACCAACAGACTATCCAGGCACTAGACAACTTAGCTCGAAATTCGACCAAACTGGTCGTTATGGGTGCCTTCAATCTTAGGTATGTCGACTGGGAGCTCGGGAGGTGTCCTCGAGGTTCAGGTGAAAGCTACCTCGAATGGATTCAATCCCGAGCCCCTTATCAGCACGTGAAGGAGAACACCAGGTATCGGTAAAGCCAACGGCCGTCACTGTTGGACCTGATCATCACAGCGCAAGAGGGAGAAGGACAGAGTCCGGAGTATCACCTTGCTATAGGTAAAAGTGATCGTCTTCTCATCAACATGACACTTCAGTTGAAACTATCCAAACCCCGTGAAGGGATGTGTAGGAACTTTGGAAGGATTGACGTGTATCTACTCCGAGCTAAGGCTGCTCAACTGTGTTGGCACAGTTCGGAGTCGCACGCTAACGTAGAGGAAAGCTGGAGTATAATCAGAAACAACCTGATGAACCTCCAAGATGAGTTTGGTCCGTTAACCTACAAAGTTTCAAGGAAGAAGCCGCCATGGTGGCACGCCGCTGTAGGTAGGGCAATTCAACGTAGAAATAGAAGCTGGACAGCTTTCCGAGCTTCCGGTTTCCAGATGGCTTGGAGGCAGTACACGAGACATCGTAACGAAGCAGTTTCGCTCATTAGAAAGAGCAAAAGGGACTTTGAGTTGAAACTAGCCAGCCGAGCCCAAAGGTAGCTGAAACGCTACTACAGCTACGCTCAAGCCAGGGGTCCCAATAAAAGGATGATGGGAC